AAGGAAGAAGCAACTCAGAACCAGTCCCCACCACACCCTTACCATTCCATGGTAGGAGGAAAAGAGCCCTGTGCAACTTTGGGAACCTGAAGCCATGTGTCAAGCCCAGACTACAGGAAAGGGAGACGAGATTTAAATCAAGTTGAGAATCAAAACTTTAAATGAACTGAACTTTTAATAATCAAAATTGAATCTTCCTAAGACTCCATTAAGGGATGGGAAAAGGCGATTTCACAAGGCATGACTGGACCAGTGATTGGCTCCATATTTATACCTTACTGAAATGAGACTTCTCAATAAATCTGTGTCTTTCAGAGGCCCCAACTCTCCCAGATCACCCAACATGGAGCAACACTCAGACACAAGGTTATGACTTCTCGAGGGGCCAAACCCAGCCAAATCTAGGCTGATCTAAAAGGAATTATGTGCCATGTCAGAGTCAGGGCTACCTTGAGTTGATTTACCCACAGAGGAAGTTCCCTGAACCCTGACCCAGGACTGTCTTCCTTAGGATTCCATCCTCACTGCCCGTGATTGACATGATCAAGGGTGATAGCAATAGCAGGGTCAATTGGGGGAACTGGGATGGTGAAATTGCTATGGAGTGTGAGATTGTTGTAGAAGGTGAATAAGAGGCCTGGGCTAAGCCACCAACACTCAAATGGCACTTTTTTTGTCCTCATGTCAATTCTGTGACTTTGTCAGCCTCTCTCAGCACCTATGATTGCACCTGGGTTACTGGAGGTGGAGAAGGGATGCCTGTGTTGGCGGCAGCAAGCAGGGCAAGATTCAAAGGCCACCCTTGACATCCTGTATTAGTTTCCTCTTGATGCTGTAACAAATTACCACAATTTTAGGTCTTAAAACAACACAAGTTTATTCTTTTACAGTTCTAAAGGTCAGAAATCTGAAATGCGTTTTTACAAGACTAAAATCAAGGTGTCACTATAGACAGCTACATCTGAAGACTTGAGCAGAAAATCCATTCCTTATCTCTTCCAACTTCTAGAGGTTGCTGGCATGCATTAGCTCCTGGCAACATTCTCCCAGCCTCTGGTTTCCATGGTAGTATCTTCTACTTCCTCTGCCTCTTCCCCTCCTGTGGCTCTCTTATAAGGACTGTTGTGATTACGTAATACAGGATAGTCTCCCCAATTCAATATTCTTAATCACATCTGCCAAGTCCTTTTTGCCATATAAGGGAACATTTATGAGTTCCAGGGATTAGGACATGGACATGTCTGGGGGGCATTAGGCAACCTGCCACACATCCCAAGGACATCCACACTCTCAGCCTGGCAGCTCCACCAAACATTATGATGAAGGCAACAGGAGTTCAAAGGACATCTACCCGAGGCCACCTGGCCTTCCATTCCCACCCTACCTCAAAGCCCTCTGCAAGATCTGCCTTCTACACTAGCCTCCAGCCTCAGGATCAGAAAAAAAAAAAAAACAGTTAAATAATTCTATCTTATACTTATGCACCAACAAGACCCAGGGGACAGGATCAGAGCCAACTCAGATATTGCTTATTTTACAAGTTGTGTTTTGAAATTTTCAAAATCCTCCCTCCAGAGGAGGTCACCACAGACTTATAAGACCTTCCAGGACTTTATCCAAATGTCTCCTGTCTTTCAAAACTGTGACCTCGAGGGATCTGTTCCAGTAGATATCTATGAACTTGGCAGTGGAGACGGTCAAAGATCGAGTCATTCTTCTGAAAAGGCTATTCCATCCAGAGTCACAGGAAATGGGAGAGGACAGAATTTGCCAGAGAATCTAAACAGTACAGCACCTCCCCAGGGGAAAACATGGTGGAAGGCCATTCAGATATACATGAAGCCATCTTGACATGGTTGTTTAAAGAGATAATCGCAAGCCACATGACCAATGTTAAAACAGTTTCTAAAGGCACTTGGCCAGAGAGCTAGGAAGCCGTCCTATGACAATTAAATTAGTGAACAGATAAGGTTGTTTATTCTTCTCCTGGGCAAGAGAAAAAAAAAGGGAGGGGGCAAGTTGTAATTCAGGGCACAGTCAACACAGGACTCATCTTCAAGGTGTTCAGGATAAGGTTTGGAAAGCTCTCAAATACTCCAGGCTGGATAAAGTTGGAAATGCTTTCAAATACTCCAGGCTGGAAGAGAGAGTAGGAACAGCAGCTGCTGTCTTCTCTGGGAAAATCAGGTCCGTAAGGAGAAGCCTGGAGCAACAGGAAGCTTCCAGGGCCTGTGAGACAGGAAGAAGGGAGGCCGCTCCAGCTGCCTGGATGAGGGGAACAGTGATCTCCTCCAGGAATGGTCAAGAACGAGTTACAAAAACAAGGAACTGCCAGCCTCATACCTTGCTCTACAATCTATCACACTTATTTGTGGGCAGTGAATATAAAAGTTTACATTTTTGCTGATTCAATAAAGAAAATATATTTGTGGCCGGGCGCAGTGGCTCACATCTGTAATCCCAGCACTTTGGGAGGCTGAGGTGGGCGGATCACTTGAGGTCAGGAGTTCGAGACCAGCCTGACCAACATGGCAAAACTTCATCTCTACTAATAATACAAAAATTAGCTGGATATGGTAGTGGGCGCCTGTAGTCCCAGCTACTCAGAGGCTGAGGCATGAGAATTGCTTGAACCCAGGAGGCAGAGGTTGCAGTGAGCCGAGATCATGCTACTGCATTCTAGCCTGATCAACAGCGTGAAACCATGTCTCAAAAAAATAAAAGAAAAAAAAAGAAAAGAAACTCTATTTGTCATTAATTAGTTGGCGCATCCTTTGCTCCTCACAGCTCAGCCTCATGCATCTAGTAGTTTTCTAACAACCACCTGGTGGCAGCACATGCTAAGCAAGCGTAGATGCTAGGGACCACCTTAAGCCCCACCTAAACACCAAAATCACAAGATACTTCAGAGGGGCGGCTTTAAGTCAAACTCAGGCTGACTCTACGAAAAAAACAGAGCGTCCAACCCATGGACAGGGACCCAGGGCTGACCAATCACCCTTCATTAGAACCTTCTCTCAGGGCCTGTGGTGACACAGACCTGGCCACGCCCACCCACACTCCCGGAAGATCAGGCCCTCCACAGCTGATACCTCTTGAGTGCCCCCTACAGGCTCTACACCAGAAAATACAGGCACTGCGCTTGCTTCAAGCTTCTAATGCTGACAAGCAGCAGCAACAGTAGAATGCTGACATTTATTGTACACTTACTACGTGCCAGACACTGTTTGGTTTGATTTTCCAGTTTTTTCCACTTCACAATGGATTAACTCTTCCAAACAATTCTGAGGTCTATACTAATATTACACTAGTTCATTATACCGCTTCATTACTGTTGCGTGACAACAGCAATGAAGCGGTAGAGCTGGGATCCGAACAGTGGGTGGCGTGAATGATGAAGATCGCTGGTCTGAAATCTCCTTTTATGACCTTCTATGCACACTGTCTTGATACATGGAAACAGCACTGCCACAGGCACAAAGATATGGAAAAATCCAAAAGAGGTCAGTGAGTGATTCAAGCTGGGCAAACACTGCCCTTGGCCAAAGGTCAACAGACTGCCTCAAAGCATATTTAAATTTTATAAGGTGAAAGAAGGCAAAATGAAACACTGTGCCTTGAAGCCTCAGCCCCATTTGACCAGGAACAAATCTCTGAAGCTCTCAAAGCCTGTTTCAGATCTGCTGATGAGACAGAAACGTAAGTCTCCACCTTTTTACCTCAACAGTCATCTCGCTGGCCAGGGAACCCTAACATCATCCTGAAAAGACTTAATCTTTGTTCTAACAAAAGATCTCTATTAATATGATTATAGGATAGCATTGATAAAATGGGATAATGGGGAGAAGATGTACCTTGCTGACCAGTTCTTTGTGCATCACAGAATTCACAGGGCATTGGAGTCGAAAGAGGCCTTAGAGGCACTAAGTCCAAGAAAGTAAAACAAGAGGCAGAGAAGTCTGATTAATTTATCCCAGGGTATGTATCTTCATTCATGGATGCATGTTTATTTAACAGACATTTAAACCCTTAATGACAAGTCCCTTCCTAGACCCTAAGGATACACAGGCCACCAAGCCATGTATTTGAGAAGTTATGTCTGCAGGGAGGGATTGCCTTGTTCTAATTCATAAGACACTGTATGGAGCTAGCAGCAGCCCTTGGGACACAATACTAAGATGTGCCCTACCTTTAGATCTGGGGCTGCAAACTGCTTGGCTGAATCCAGGGTGCAAACACATTTATGTGCCTTTCAATGCTTTAAAAACTGGGAAATTTTGTGAGAAATCTAGGTGATCCAGCTGGCTTGAAAAATAAGATCTGGCAATCCTGGGCTTGTGTCTCCACTTAGCAATGATCAGATGGAATTGAGTAGAGGCTGCTCTTAATAGATGGAGCATGTGTTCTGCACTTTGCCACTGTCCCCATTACTCCCTATGTCTCTTAGGCAATGCTAGCCTCGCTCCTTTGTTTGAGTCTGTCCTATAGGCAAATAAGGATGCAATTCATGAGCCGGGTCCTCTCAAGTTGGTTGGAAAAGACAGCAGAAGTCTAAAGAGAGGACTGTGGGATAAAACAGTGGGATATGTGATGATAGATGTAAACTCAGAATATTTATTTAGCAGCTTAGCTAGGGCCAGAACCTGGCTCTGCCCATTAATTGTTTCCTGGTCTCCAGCAATCCAGCCTCTACTGGGCACATGCAGACAGCCATTCTAGTCTGAAATGACAGGGTCCATCACAGCCCCAGGTCATCACTGGTGTACGGTATCCACAGTGCCATTAAGGCCCTACTCAGGATTCAGAGAGGACCCAAGGGATCTAGATAATCCTTACAGCTAAGCCAACCAGAAATACCATTGGCTGGAGACAGGAAAGAAAGTTTAGTTCTCTGGTGTAGGATTAACACTAATCATGCCACATCTCAGGTGGTCTACAATAATGCTTCTGAGTAAACAGAGGGATGTCCACCATTTCCCTTCCCCTCCCTATGACCTTACCTCCTGCAGGGTAGAGTGCATGAAGACCATCCCTATCAGCAGCCACCAGGGGCTCGTCCAGGAAGCCATGGGGTCTGGTCTCCTCTGGGTCTCAGTTGTAGCCTACAAAAGAGTAAAGAGTTCATTACCAACCAGCTCTGGCCCCCATGGCAGTAACCATGACTTAAGAGACCCATTAGACAGAAGGACCCTGAAGCCCAGATACTGTTTTGGAAAGGTTTGTGTTGGCCCAGGTTGGGGCTGCCTACTGCAGGGTGCAGGATAACTGGGCTCCCTTTAGAAGGTCCACATCAAAGTCAGGCGAGGGCTGTACCTGTCTCCAGTGGGCAACTCATACCTCCAGCTCTTCAGAAGCTGAGATAATCCTGCCCCAACCACCTCCCAGCCCATCTGTCAGCAGCAGGGTGTGGCTATTGGCATTTGACTCAGGAAGCCAGCACAGAGCCAAGGTTTAGGCCAGCATCTGCTGCTTGTGGCAAAAATGAGACTAAAACAACAAAGCCGCCCAGAGAGGGAAAGGACCTGCCTAAGGTCACACAGCAAGATAGTGACATTTTAGGAATGAAACGCAGACTCTGATAGTTCAAGGCTTTCCTCGCTAGATGACACGTGCGCCCTCAAGGTCCCGCACCCACAACCACAGAGACGCCTGACAGCTAAGTTCAGGGAGGTTTGGAGGACATAGCCCCCAAGCCAACCTAACACAATCTCCTAAAAGTAGGTTAGGGCGAGCCAGCAGAGGTCAGCTGAAATCAGGAGGGAAGCAGGGACTCTTTCCCTTACTTTTCCTGTCAATTTACAGGGAAATCAGTATGAGTCGAGACTGGAAAAGCCGAGGTCACACTCGACTCGCTTCGCCTCGCGGGCGCCTTGGCGGAGCTGGTGTCCGGGGGCGGGTCGGTGGCTTCTCTCCATCTGGAGAAAGCATTAAGGGCCTGGCCTAATGCGATCCGCAAATGTGCTGCTGTTTCCGACCTGAGGCGGCGACTCCCGGCTGAAGGGAGGCGGCCAGCGCGAGGCCCTGGGACTTTGCGCCCCCCTCGCGCGCTCGCACCAGCCTTCCTAGCGCACACTCCTCCGACTACCCGTTGCCTCAAAGTCGCTCCTCCAGCGCCTCCGCCGCGTCCTGGTCACCCCCACGCCCACTTTCCACGATCGCGCATCGCCTCAACCCCCGGCGTTCTGGGCGCTCGCTCCCCAGTTGCCAGTCGGACGGACCTTCGGACGCGCGAGGTTTCTGCTTACAAACTCCCAATCCTGAAAAACTCCAACCCTGTGGAGCTCCCCCATAATCAAGAACGACCCTCAGCCCGCGAAGTGCCCCCGAAAGACTCTCCCTGAACCTTCCGGGACGCCATGGAGCCCGCCCGACCCGAGGTGCCCAGCCGTGAGGAGCATCCCAGTCCTGAGGCCCCCTGGAGCCCGCGTGGCACGCCCTGACTCTGCTTGGGGTCCCCCAACTTGCTTAGAGAGGCCACTGCTCCAAGTCTTACTCCCCCTGGGGAGTGCCTTCCCCCGACCGCTGCGGGGCCGCCCTGCGCCGAGCTCGGTACACCCACCTTGCGCCGCAGAAGTATCTGGAACGTGCAGCCCCGGGGCCGCTAGGGCTCGGCGCGCGCTGGGGAGAAGCTGGCAGATGCCGCCAGTCAACACCTCGTGCGGAATCCGGTACCAGGACCTTCCCCGACGCCGGCCTCCAGCCCGCGGCGCCGCAGTCGCCGCCGCCGCCGCGAAGTTAAATGGGGCAGAGACCGGGGCTGCCCCGCCTCTCCCGCCCCCTCCGGGCGCGCAGAGCGCGGCGCTGGACCCGGCCCAGAGGCGAAGGGCGCGCGCCACCACCTGCACCGCCCGGCAAGTGCACGGCGCGCCCAGGCGCCCGTCCGCCTGCGCGCCGGCACCGCGCCCTCGGCCTGAGCCGGAGGCGCCGGGGGCGCGAAGAGACCCAATGTGGGGCCGGGCCCGGGCCGCTCGGAGCGCGCGGGGCCGCGGCGACGGCGAGACTCGGCTGGAACGCTCCTCCGCCCGCTTCCTGGAAGCCACTCCTCGCCCTGGGCCGGCCGCCAGGCGTTGTGCCAAGAGCCGGGATTGCCGAGGCCGCTACCGCCGCCGCCGGCAGGCGCGCAGGGGAAAGGCGGCCGCTGCGCCGCGAGCCAGCCTGGCCGCCCCGCCTCAGCCGGAGCCGGAGTAGGGATGCAGTCGCTCCCCTCAAAGCCCACCCCCGGCCCCACCTCCCATAGCCTCCACCCACCCCGCCCAGACCCGGGCGCCAGCTCTGCAAAGTCAGGCCCAGCAGCCACACGGAGGTTTGCCCGGAACCGCTGGCTCGTGCCTAAGAGCCTTAGGCACTCCGGGCCAGGCAGGACCAAAGTCGGAGATCAGTGGCCCTCTCCTGGCCTGCGCCTCCTCCGCACAGCACAGACCCCACACAAGGGACCATGGACTGTGGAGCGCTTACCGCCCAGGGGCCTGGGACCTTTGGCAGTCAGGGACCACGAGGATCTTCAGGAGCAGCTCTTAACTGAGTACCTGGCGCCCCCTTGTCTGAGCCAGGCTTGGGGAACTGAGAGCTCCGCAGGTGCCAGGATCATGCAGTGTCCAGGCCTGGGATTTGGGGTTGGGAGGAGAGTGTCTCGGACCAGAGACTGAGGTGAGTTGCCTGTGTACTTCTGGAGGTGAAGAGAAGTAAGAGGAAATAGTTGCCCCTGTCCTTGTCCTAGTCTCAGCAGGATAAGCCAAGGGCCAGGAGATTCATCTTAAAGCCTGCATTATGCCCGCACCTAAGTCCTACCACAGTCATCATTTCCTTGGGTGTCTGTCGAGTACCAAGCTCTTTGTGTCTATCTGATCTTCACGGCGGCAGTAGTTTGAGTATTGTCGCATTTCACCTAGGATAAATCTGAGGCTGGGAGGATAACTTGCCCACCATGAGTGGAGAAGCCAGGACTGGAACCCCTATCCGCCTCTCTCTAGAGCCTGGACTATTCACCCCTAAAGTTGCTCTCCTGCCTTCTCAGTGGTTGCTGCCTTCCAGTTACTGTTAGAGCTTTGCCAAGAGCAGTTGGCCTTGCCTGCTTTCTTCACCCATTCTTACCTTACTCACTCTGGTGACTTCCTCTGACCAAGAAGAGGATCTTCAAGGCTGTCTCTCCACTCTATGTAAAATGACTGAACTTGTGGCAAGTGAGCAGAGGACAGGTCAGTGTGGAGACAGGGGAGGAAAGAGTAGCCAGTGAAGGGTAGGGAGGGCTAGGCTAAACTAGAACTAACTCATCTATGGACAATCGATCCTCTTTATTCACTGTAGTTGTGGTCTATAAAGTCACAGAACAATGAATTTGTGAATATGGAGCCATTGTTCCTAGGGGAAATACAGAGTTGGGTTCCTGCAAGCTCACAACATTTTTGTCAATCAATCAACACATTACCTTATTTTATGCATGTTTCTGTTTAAAGACGCCTTACTTAACATCTATTGTTGATTCCTGAACACTGAGCTCACAGCCTACAGTGCTGTAACTCATGCCTGAATGAAGCTTATCTAACTTACATATTTTCTCTGCAACGCACATCCCAGCCTTCTTCCACTTAGGAACGCTAGACTTCACCTCAGCACCGTGCCTGGGGGGTGCTTTAAGCAGCAAAATCCTCAACAAAAAAGACAAAAAATGTGAAAACATGGCAATGAAGAGAACTTCTGGCCACCCATTCACAGTATGAAAGCTGAAACAAGAAGACAGAGGGTTGATTAGTTGGACCTTAGCTTCCAGCAGGTGCCTCAAGAGATTCAAAATGTTCAGCACTGGTTCAATGACTTTGAAAGTGCTTCAGCTATTGATTATGAGGTGTTAAAATAAAAACTTTAGACAAATTTAACAGAGGTTAATTGAGCAAAGAACAGTTTGAAAATTGGGCAGCCCCCTCACATAGCCCCAAAAAAATAGGTTCAGAGCAACTCTGGGGCTTCCACATGATCAGATAATATTTATGGACAGAAAACAGAAGTGAGGTACAGAAACAGAATATGATGGACAGAAAACAGAAGTGAGGTACAGAAACAGCTGGATTGATTATAGCTCGGCATTTGCCTTATTTAAACATGGTTTGAACAGTTGACCTCCTGTGATTGGCCAAAACTCTGTGACTGCTTCAAGAGTAGGTTACAGTCTGTTTACACATCATTAGGTTACAGTTCACTATGTATAGAGAGACCTTTAGGCCGAACTTAAAATATGTAAGAAGGCAGCTTTAGGCTAAACTTAATATAACGGAGATGACAAATTTTAGCAAGTAACTGAATTCACAATAGGGAATCTGCAAATAATGAGAACTGATTTTTCGTGCTTCTCATATCAGAGTATCAGTAAAGGAATAGCCACATTAACATTTCAAAACACTTAGGATGCAGCAGGCACTGTTCCAGATACTTTGCTTGTACCGAGTCATCCCGTCATCACAACAGCCTATGGGGTAGATATTATTTTTATTCCCATTTTGCAAATGAGGAAACTGAAGTGGAAAGGTTTAAACACCACATGTTCTTAGCAACTAGACGATACCACTCTTTACATCCTTCATATTCTAAAACCAACCCTGCCATATGGAGTCAAATGCAAAAAAGTCACATGAATATGCAAGATGAAATGGAGAATTCAAAGAAATATTATGCTTGTGCAGTGGCGGCTGCATTAAGCAGAGCTCCCGGTGTCTGCAACTCAAGAAGGCACCGAGAATGCCTCTGGAGTTGGGGGACTTTGTTGGGAATATTTGAGATGCACTGCTCTGCTTTAAGGTATGAATGGCTCAGCAGGACTTCCTGTCTCATTTCCCTTGGGCAATCTGATTCCTGAGCCAGCCTCCAAGGAGTGCCCCACACCAAGTACTCAGACCAGGACTGAGCTTTTCTCTCCCACAGGTTCCATCTAGCAGGAGGCCAGCCCCCTCAAAGAGCAGGTGTTCCAGGAGTGAAAAGCAGTAGAGAAAACATCACCAATACCTTTATAGAACTTTTGCCTTCCAGGTAACCCTAGCAGGTCAAGCAATCCTATGTGAGTGGCCAAGGCACTGTAAGTTGGGACAACAAAGAGCTGCAGAGGAGAGCCTCCACTGGGGGTGCTGGCTGAACCTGACAGATGTTGTGCACAGAATCATGGCCTCACCACCCCTCAGTCACTCACCCACACTTCCCTTCCATCCTTACCCCCTCAGCTGAGGCTTGGCCCAAATGTTTAAATAAGACATTGCCAAAGGCATGGTGTGTTGAGAGATTGGGAAGTGGGAAAAACAGAAATGAATAAACCCCAAAGGAGCTAATCTGGCTGATTTGGCTGTTGATTGTGGCCACCTACCCAATCACTATCTGGGGAGGTTCAGGCCCCTCCCTGACTACCTCCTGGGCTCCCTTCCTGTGAGAATACCCTCCACTTGGGGACAATGGCAATGCATTTAGACTCTGAAGGGTCAAGGAAACTGAGTTCCATTTCCTCCCTAAGATCCATCTTCTTGGCTTCCTGGTTTTCACTACCTGTCTCAGGACCTGCTTCTTCCTAGATGAATTTCAGAGATTCCTACCCGCACTCCCAGCTTTGCCTGTTGACCCCAACCCAACAAGCACACAGTACAACATTCACATGAGAGATAAACATTGAAGACTAAGAAAGGAACTATTGATGATGGTGGCGTTGGGGTGTGTGTAAGTTTTATCCTTAGAGACAAGGAATATCAATTTGGGCATCAGCCTTAATTTGTTATTGATACAGAAATGCTCTTTCTGGTTAGAGTTGTGAAGTGGGCTTGGGAAGCACACTCAAGAAGGCTATGTTGGAGGCTTAGAGAAAAAGACTACTTGGAGGCAAGTACTCCAGTAGAAGGTACCATTGACTGCAGCAGGCAACAAAGATACACTCTCAGCTAAGGCCACCAAGAGATAAAACATCTGGGGCCAAGTGCAGTGGCTCATGCCTGTAATCCCGACACTTTGGGAGGCCAAGGTGGGTGGATCACTTGAGGTCAGGAGTTTGAACCCAGCCTGGCCAACATGATGAAACCCCATCTCTACTAAAAAATACAAAAATTAGCCAGACATGGTGGCATGCACATGTAGTCCCAGCTACTTGGGAGGCTGAAGCAGGAGAATCACTTGAACTGGGAGGCGGAGGTTGCAGTGAGCTGAGATCACACCACTGCACTCCAGCCTGGGCAACAGAACGAGACTCTATCTCAAAAAAAAAAAAAAAAAAAAAAAACACATCTGGATATTAGGTGAACATGGTGCCTTAGGGGCACAAAATTAGCTAGCGAGTGTTCTTCAGGAAAAACCTATAAAGGAGTGAGGGAAGCAGGATAGGTAAGGGGCAAGACTAGAGCAAGCTGTGACTGAGGTCAAGTCTAACCTTCATGTGATCCTCGGGGATCCTGGAACAGAAACCACACCATAGATTTGCCCTGACTTGAAGCACCAGGACCAACTGCTGACCCAGGTGCCAGTAAGTCACTGCCTCCCCTGGAGCTGGGTGGTGGTATACGGTGGTATAACCTCCAAGGTGGCTCCCAGTGGCCAAGGACAATGCTCCAGGAAGGTATCAGCCTTTAGCTGCTGCACCAAATATGTGCTGGGGAGAGGCGTGCCTGCTGGTAGAGAAATCGGACAGGGCATCCTCCCCAATTGCATCTACCATGCCTGGTTTTCAGGATGTATCCCTAGTCCCACACAGGAAATATGCTCAGCTAGCACTGATGG